AGTGACTTAGCCATTATGCTACCAGAGCTCCTCATAGGAAAATAAATTCTAGGTGGGTGAAAACCACTGAAGTAGCCCATAAGGAAGTGTTTGAGATGGAGATAGTCTTTCCAAGGATGACATCAAAGCCAGAAATCAAAAAGTAAAGGAACACTTGGTGTGATTTCATAAAAATAATAAATTTCTATATGAGAATTTAAAGGCATACATATTAGAAAATCAGAAAAGAGATAAAGGTCAACGTAATTGGGATATTAATCTTAATATAACATCATTTTTTATCTACAGACTGATGAAGTCTGTGAAAAAGGGTTACTCACATATTTTCATATAAAGAAATATGTTGAGGAAAAGAAAACAGAAGGATACACTCCCAAATGGCTGTCTCTGAGTGCTGAGTATATTGTTGGTATGTTTTTCTTTATATTTTCTTGTACCTTTAAATTCAATTTTCACAATAAGCATACATGCCCCCTCCTTTTCTAATCAGCAAAAAACAAGACAGCTATCAAAACTGCCCACAGCTCCCATCTATAGGTATTTCCTGGAAATGCTTACATCATGAATGTTACACACCAAATCTAGCTGAGGCTCTTATCAAAAGAAATCTGATGTAAAATAAATTTGGTCACAACCTCAGAGTACCCCGAGATCCATCATCACCAGGGTGAAGCAGCTCAAACTTGAACATTTCATGCTTTGGCCTCTACTGCATGGCAGAATTTGCTCAGAGCCCATATCATAGTAACGAGACTCCATTTTGTGAAGTTACTCACGGTGCACTCCTAACTCCTTGGCAACACCTAACAGCAGCAACATACATGGAAAGGACCTCCGTCTAAGTGGAACTATGAGGAAGTAGCTGAATATAGAAGTCTGTCAAATGGGGTCTGTTTTTCTTCAGGGTAGTACCAGATAAACAATGCCACTTTGAAATCACTGAGCTTTTATTTTTTGTTGTTCCAGGCTAACAATACACTGTCACTCCTAAGTATCATCTCTCAATTAGCAAGGATGTTAAACCAGTGTATAAATACTTGCATTCTGTTTATTTGCTGTGAGACACAATCAGTGAATCTGTCTGAATCATGTCTCATTGAATAAGTGTCCACAGACTATTCGATAATGAGATGGTATCTTAATAACATGAAACTTAATTCAAATTCTATCAATCAAGATACTCCTAAGTATCTCAGTTAGCAAGGATGTTAAACCAATGTAAACCAATGTTAAACCAATGTACAAATACTTGCATTCTATTTATTTGCTGTGAGACACAACCAGTGAATCTGTCTAAATCATATCTCATTGAATAAGTGTCCACAGAATATTTGATAATGAGAATGACATCTTAATAACATGAAACCTAATTCAAATGTGTTTCCATTTAACTTTGCATTGAGAATGTTTTCTTCTTAGAGAACATCTGGTATTTTGTAAATTAGTGAAGTAAATATATAATTACTGATGTACTTCCTGATCTTTTCTACTTTGAGGAAGGGTCGGTAATCACCCAGGTGTGTGTCTGCAGGACTTGAAGTTTCTGGAGCCCGTGAAAATACACTGAGAGGAGAGTGACAGCTATGATGGTACTCAGGATTGGTTATGGATTGAACCGTATCCCCAAAATGTAAGAGCTGTAAATCCTCATCTCTATGCCTGTGTTATAAACCCCCCTAGGGAATGGGCTGGGTTTGTTATGTTAATGAGGCAGGATTACTGTAGGGTGTGTCTTGAGTCCCTCTCTTTTGAGATATAAAAGAGATTAAACAAGCAAGCAAAGACAGGGGAAGACACGGGTCACATGAAGATCCCCAGGAGCAGAAGCTCAGAGAAGACGAGGACCTTCCTCGAGAGCTGACAGAGAGAAAGATTTCTCCTAGAACCAGTGCCTTGAATTCAGACTGATAGCCCCCGAAATTGTGAGAAAATGTTCAAGTCACCCACTGTGGTATTTCTGTCACAGTAACACTAGATAACTAAGACAGCATCTCTCCAGACAAATTATTCAAAAGAAAACATTTCATTTGAAGAGGGCAGTGTTGGGGAGCAAGCATGGTCTGTGGAGACAGACAGCCACGGGTTTCAACCGGGGCTCTCCCACTTATAGTCTCTATGTTCTTGGGAAAATTACTTGACCTTCAAAATTTGTTTTTCACCTGTAAAATGGGAATGGTTTTATCTACCTTGTGGTTGTTACTCAGGGGTCTATTAAAATCCAGGAGCATCGGGGCCACTGAGTTGACACTGACTCATGGCAACCGCACACGCGTCAGAGGAGAACTGGGTTCTGTGGGGTTTTCAGGGCTGATCTTTTGGAAGGAGATTGCTGGGCCTTTCTTTCGAGGTACCTCTGGGTGGATGCAAACCTCTAACCTTTCAGTTAGCAGCTGAACATGTTACCCGATCGCACCACGATCGCACCACCCAGGAATCGCAGGCACATATCAGGTACTCAAAACAAACAGTGATTATCACTGAACGTGGACAAGAAGATGATAAGGTTGCTTTGCTGCCAGGAGTGAGGCCACTGACCTTGAACTTGAGTCACCACAGGGAAGATAAGTCACACTATTCAAGTCCAGGCAACATCAACTCATTTAAAGTGAAAACACAGCACTTTCTGGTGCCTGAAGTGATCCTATCCCTTAATCAGACACCCTTTTCCTAATATGAAAAATTATTCATATTATTAATATGATATGGGGGGTGGCATGGACTCAGAACAAAGAGAGGCAGAGTCAGGAGGTAAGGTACACCCAGAGCACAGTGAGGCCTGAAGACTCTCCCCACCTTACATCAGATGCCATCTCGCCAGTGCACAGACACTCAGCACCTGTCATATGGGGTCTGTCTGTCTTCAGGGCAATGCCAGATAAATGTACCTTCGAAATCTCTGAGCTTTTATTTTTTGTTGTTCAAAGCTAACAATACACTGTCACTCTGTCCACACAGGCTTCCCCAGAGAGAGAAAAATAGAATCCACTGGTCTCCACTTACTAAATTAGATTCACCATCCAGACCTTGCTCCCTGCAGGTATTTTACATTGGTGAGAATATGGGGTGCTCCCTTGAAGAGCCAGTTCCACGTGAGGACTTTACCAGGACAGCCATAAAGAACTATCTCATTTCCTGTTTCCAGGTCCTTGAAGGAATCTCATTGCTTCCTCCTCAAGACCAGCAGTTGTTTTTACTGTTGTTTCTATTGATTGCTTGCACGGATGAATGAGTGCATTGATGGGAGAATGAACATACGTGATGTGCAGAGAATACTGTATCACCGTGCTGGACATCAGCAATGAGCTGTTCTGGGTCCTTGGTATCCTATTTGGCACTCAGAAAGATTAGAAGGGGCACAACAGAAACTTGGTCTTCTGATACATGTTTGTTGTCTTACTTTTGATTCAAGGAATGCAAAAGTGAAGAACCACATTGAGATTAAAGAGGAGAAAGGCTGGTGCGTCAAAGCAGCCTCCCCCATTCTTTCATTCCTCATATTAAAAAGTATGCCTTCAACCAAGAATTCACTGAGGTTGTATGACATTTTGGTTCCCTACAAGGTGTGACTGGACTGCGTTTCGAAACACAGACCCAGCTCTGTCCAGACTGACCTTGAGGAATTCGCTCAGTTCCAGTAAGTGTTGTTAAGCTCCTCTCTCTGTGAGAAGAGGATATTAATTTTGCCCCTCAGTCCCCCTTGGAATGTCATAAAGAAAGAGCAATAGCATATGGGATACACTGCAAACTCCTACACAGAAAGGTCCACAAATGATGAAGAGAGAGAAACAGGCATTTTTCTCAGTATCATCTTGCTTTTCGTCCTTTCAGGCAGACATTTCTGCTTCAAGTTAACAGTAAATGGATAAATATGTTAAGTGGATACAGGGCGTGCTGTTGTTTGAAATCAGTAACTAGCCTGATGATTCTGATTTTAGGATTTCATTTACCACCACCCTGTTTTCTAGAGAGGAACAGAAAATGCTTGCTTTACAATAGCCAAATAATCCAAGCCTAGCACCACCCTGGAAGTCAGCGCCCCACCCCAACTAGGCTTCTGTGCACACAGTGTCTCAGCAACCTGAGGTGAGTGGTACAAGGGTTTCCTAAAATCACCCAGGAAGTCAAAGGGAAGCAGCAGCTCTCAGCTGGCCACTGGAACGTGGTCACATTATTCTCTGAGCATGGAGAGCGCAACATTCTGCAACCGGTGGCCTCCTCATGACAGGGACAGAGCTTTTACTTGACTGTCATCAATTACAATGCTTAAGTGCAATACGTCTTCAAGAAAAGAAATAAAAGAAATAGGGTGCTCTCTCTTTCATACTGTGTGGTATAAAAGACCCAAGCAAGTTGAATCATTTACATGCAGCCTTGGAAACCCAGTGGGGTTGCTATGAGTCGTAACTGACTTGATGGCAGTGGGTTTTAACCAACTGTTTATTCTATTCAAACCCTTTCAAAATTGTTAAAGAAGAAATAACACAGATGCATAAGCAGATATGCACAGCGTTCTTCTGTTTTCAGATCACACTGTTCCTATCTTCCTTTCCTCCATGTCAAGAAAGAAATTATTGCCATGTTTAACAATACATTAAGGAAGAAAAGCATGACATTAGATGTATGTCCTGGAGCCTCTGAACACACCCATCCCCAGCACCTATGCACTGCAACGGAGCCCCAGCACACTGCCTCACCCACCGTAGGGAGTATTCTCATCCAGTCTCTATATATAACCACCACATTTCACGTGCACGCACCACTCCCCACCCTGTCCACATGCACATTGTGATCTCATCAGGCTTGCAGAAACTGGAACGTTGTAACAATGCTCGGAATTTGAGAAATTCACAAGAAAAGCCAAGAGATGGTTTCCAGATTGAATGAAAAGGGCTCATTCTGTCGGCAGGAGCACCTTCGCGGCAGGGCAGGCTGTGCCCGGCTCTCTGGGGTGTGATCTGCATGTCTAATAATGGAACAGGTTAGTGGCGTCAGCCGCTTACCTTGGAATGCTGCAGCAGAAGTATCTGTTCGTCAAGCTGTTGTCGCTTGCCTTCTATTTCAGTCTGCCTCTTTCTTTTTTCCTTGAAAATAGAGAGAGAGAGGCTGTCAGAGTGGGTGGGTGTTGGCACCGGGGATGTTCAAGCAGGAAGCAGCAACAGCAGCAGCAGCACACATCTGTACAGACACTTCCAGAGATGCTGGGCTCACTGTGCACCGTCACCTTCCCCTCCGTATCTGGGTGCACTGCAAGCAATAGCATCCTCGTAACATGTCTGCTGTGGGCTCGGTGAGTGGGAGAAATTCTCCTCACTCAGCCCAGCTGCCACAATTGAGTCCAGAAGAAAAGGCGGGTATTACACACACACACACACACACACAGCCATGTTCCGTGCAGTGTTAATTTGGACACAAAGAATAAAAATGTCTCAATCAAAAAGACAGAGGTTGCTGCAAGCTACAAATATGACAGAATAAGTCGTGGGAGATTCTAGGTTTAGATTTCTTTCCTCAAAAGCGCACACACAAAAAATCTAACGTAATTTCAAATTCTGTAGGACCAACCAGCCAATTGGATTTAGTAAATGACAATGTCAAAAGAGATGGGAGATCTTTGCTGAAACTAGCCTTGGGGTTAGGATTTCCTACGGCTGTGGGTTACTAAGGAGACAGCAAATGTGAAATCTGGTGTTGCCTGGCCGAGGGCCAACGTCCAGCTCCATCATTTGCTAACCTGTATGACCACCAACCACTCCTCGGAAGGAAGATGGGGCAATCTACTTTCATAGTGATACTGCCTCGGAAACCCAAGGAGGGGTCGCTATGAGTCAGGTCCGACTCGACAGCACATAACAACAACAACAACATGACCTTTGGTAAGTTTTTACTTCCCTGAGTCTCAGCTGTCTCTTCCAAACAATGCAGATATTAGCAGTATCTAAGCCATATAGTCAGAACATGGATTGAATGAGATGACACAAACAAAAGGCCGAGATTAATGCCTGGTACAAAGGAAGTGCTTAATAAATGTTATTTGCTACTGTTCTTACTGCTACATGTTTACTCTAGATAAGGCCGAGAAGTTGGTGTTAAAGAGATGTATGTATTTCACTTGTATTCACATCATAACCTTTCCACTAGGGTGCGTACTTCATGCTCTTCCTCGCCATACTTTTCAAATGCAGACGATAAGCATATGAATTTGATTAATTTAAAAATAGAAAGGGCTGCACTCATGATAGCTAGAAGGCTCATGCTTTGTTTCCAAAGTACACAGGAGTGGTTTTCTGAGACATTTACTGCCTGGATTATTTTCCTTTACTCACATATGCAGAGAGAAACTTGTTAGACAAGACATAATGGTATTTTACAGTACAACAGCCAAATCCCAGAGAGGATTCTTGGACAATAATATAGAAGCCTGGATGCTATGCTCTGAGTTAACAGAAGCTTTTATTTATGTAGTTGCTATGTTTCTGGGGATATGAACAAAACATACCGCTATTCAGATCAACAGAATAATAATTTGTGTTATAGCCAAGGTTTTCTGTGTAATGTACAAACTTATAAGAAATAGTATCTTATCATCTCAAGTCACTAAGACTTAATATCCAGGTCAGGGATATAATCTCCTTGCCAAAATGAGGCCCTGTGAATATTTTAGAAATTTTTCATTTGCTGAAGAACTCTAATCAATGTTAATTAATCCTGCAATATGTCCAAGGAAATGGAAAAAAGTAAGGCCCAGTGGAAAAGCCCACCTATTCAGTATCTCAAAGGTACCATATGATAAAACAGGGAGAGGGAAAGGGAGCATATTTGCTTGGGGGGCACAGAGTTTAAGTTAAAAGTGGTGGAGTATTTTTGAAAAGAAAAGCAATAATGGTGGCACAACATGAAAAATGTAATCAAGGTCATTCAATTGTAAATGTGTAAGTTGTTGTGTTGACAGATGTTCTGAGACATATATTTTCACCCCATTTAAAAAAAAAAAAAGAGTGTGTGTCTGGGGAAACCACAAAAATTAGATTAACACTAAAATTCGATTAACAACAACAACAAAATAAATAGACCAGGACTAGATTATGGAGGGCCTTGCACGGCAGGCCAAGAAGTTTGGATATTATTCTGTGAACCATGCAATGTCACTGTGGAGCTCTAAGTAAGAGAATGCCATGGTGAAATGGCACTGTGCACAGGATGGATTAATACGGATCAACACACTCTTCCTGAAAATGACCAGATAGTAAACATTTTAGATTTTATGAGACATATGTTCATTATAGTCAAAAGCAACCTTAGATGATACATAAATTAAAGAGCAGGACTGTGTTCTATAAAACTTTATTTACAAACATAAGTGGTAGGCCACATTTGGCCTGCAGGTCATAATCTGCTGACGTCTGGATTAATAGATCATGAGGTACCTTAGCAGGATGCTACACTCACCCCAGAGAGGGCTGGAATGGACGAACCAACAAATCTATCTTAGCTTAGAATTGCACCAAACAGAATGGAAAGTAGTGGACAAACACACCAGCCACTCCTCGGAAGGAAGATGGGGCAATCTACTTCTGTAGTGATACTGCCTTGGAAACCCAAGGAGGGGTTGCTATGAGTCAGGTCAGACTCGATGGCACATAACAACAACAACAGAACTTATGAGGCTCAGGACCTAGGGACAGGTGGTATCTTGGCTTTGAGCCACCTTGACCAGAAGAGTGCTAGTGTAGGAGTCACCAACAGTGGGAAAGCATTGAGGTGGAGCCCATCTGTGCTGCATTCGTATTTTCCCTGAATACATGCATTATTGGACTAAAGTTCAAAACCAAATGTTGTTAACATGTACAACCAGGCAGATATATTAGCATGTTTTCATCTGTGTTCTGACAATGATCCTGGACTCATTTCTTAACAAAAACTCTGCACATCAACAGTGGTGGCAGGGTTCTTTGACTGAGTCCCTTCCACACTGATAGGGTCAGGTCCTGAAGTCACTCCTAAGTGGACTAGAGGTATGATATACAACCAGCCAGACAGAATAGAAACTAGTCAGAGGAACAGAAAGTCTGAGCAGGACACTATTAAGGACCTCACCTTTGGTTCCTGACACTTGCCTGGACCCCTGAGGTCTGAGCTGTACCCCTAACCTGGTTAGTCTCCTCGTGCCCAGACTTCCTCTTTCCCTTAACCAAAGCAAAACCACCAACCCTTGGGCTGCCTTCTACTCTACATTTTTAGCCTACATCATTGGCTTCATTCTCATCAACTCCACAACTTACATGCTGACCACTTGCAAATCTATACCTTCAGCCTGAACCCCTCCTTTGAGCACCAACCCCCACCCCCTTAAGTAACTGCCAAGTCTTCATATCCAGCCCTTCAAACTCAACATGTGAAATCATCACCTCAGCCAAACCCCTTCCCTGACCCTCACACCTGTTCCTTTTCCCGTACTCCCCGTGGAAACAAATGGCACTACTCAAGGCAGAAATCTGAGTTAGCCTAGATGTTTCACTTTCTTGAAAGACCAAGTCCTATTGATTCTACCTGTTATATTCCATGTTTTGTTTCCCACTACAGCCTTCACCACAGCTTTAAGACTTCCTCCTGTATCTGCCCACCTGCTCATGCAGATAATTCTACATTAGTACATGTACCCTCCATAGCACTTAACTGTTTAGACATCGTCTCCATCTGGATCACTGCAGTGGTTTCCTCACAGATCTCCTTATCTCTGAGCCTTGGCAATTCTCCAAGTCACCTTCTACACTGCTGCCAGAGTGATATTCTAAAATGGAAATCTGGCCATCTCCATCCCTTGCTTAAAACTCCAGAACATCTCCCCATTGCCTGCAGTGCGAATAGCCAGCTCCTCAGCCTGGTAAATGAGGCCCTTATCTACTTCCCAGCTTCACCTTGAGCCACGATCCCCCTAACCATATGCTCCAAGCTCCACAAACAACTTACAGTTTCCTGATTGGCCAGGCTGGTTTATGCTTTCCTAGTTTTGCTCTTACTGCTTCCTCTACCGATAACGTATACAGTCCTCGCTTCTTCGTATGACAAAACAACTACTCATCTTTCACAAAGGAGTTTAAATATGAAAGAAGCTATAGTGACTGCCTGTCAGTGTTGATCTGCCCAAGTCTTCCTTCCTTTGAAGAACCCACTTACTCTCTCTGTTGGCTCTGGTGAGAATGTCAGCCCTGACTAGTCGTATACACCTCTACTTACCCCTAGCACCAGGAATTGCATGTGACCCAGGTTAGGCCAAGCACACTACCTTATCTGTTTGCAGTAGTGATTCGTCCAATGAGTGACTAAGACCTAAGCAAGACCAATGAGAGATATTTCTAGGAGTAGATAAGTGAACATTGGGAGAGAAAAGCTCCCTTTCTACTCCAGTTAAGCTAGTACATCTGAGTAGGGTTTCCCTAAGCCATAGGAAAGAAATGCACCATGGAGAAGAAAATGGAGTCCCTG